TTAATGGCAGTTGTGATATGCTGCAACATGCATTGAACTGCTTACCATTATAGATTATATTAGAGTTACAGCATGACAACAGTCTCCACACCAACGTCTCAGAAATATATGAAGACATTGGCTGATAGCAGCACTTCAGATGTCACGCATGTCTTGTGTGCATCACAGCTGACACCGCGAAGCACATGTCTGGCAATGGAACCACTGACATAGGCTACTGAGAACACTTCCATGTCACCAGCATGTACTGCAGCAACCATGTCCTTCTGTACTTGTTGAGTAACATGGAAACTCAGGAAATTCATCAGGGGTTTCCTTGCCACGACTTGTGGACGGATTTGGTGAAGAAGCAACAGGTGCCCTGAACAATGACTATAGGTTACACACAACAGTAGCACCACCATCCTCACAACTAGTTCCACACAGACCTCTGATAGCAAGTGCACTGATGATGTTAGTCTTCAGGGCATCTACAAACTGTCCCACAGTTGGATTATTGTTCAAACCAGACTACGAACGAATAGCTTCAAATGTGTTCACAAGGTGATCACCAAACAGCTGTTGCCAGGTATTCACCACAGCACCCTCCTGAAAGAAAATTAAAAAGGAAATTAGTGGGCTTTTATACATGATGGACTTCTTCAGATTTGGAAATAACACACTTTACTTTAAAGGGACTACCATTATAAAGATTTTATATATTTGATTAAATTATTCATCATAGAAAAGTCTTTACCACCTTATTCTCTTATAAATCATATTACTGATAGTGTGATCTGCTTTTCAAACATTTTTAATTACCCTAAAAACATTTGACATATCCTACATAACTTGTGTATTGATAAGTTTGTACTGTAGCATCCTGTTGCACTTTTCCATTTTACTATAGATCTTATATTACAGTCTTATGTGAAACTATTTATTAACTTTAAGTTTAAAATTTAAAACTTAAAAAGTTGCACATAAGGCAGTAAAATAAGATTCATAATAAAATTGTATATTGATGTACAGTTTCATAAGTAATGAATGATGATGACAATGATGTTTGTTTGATCACCAATAGCTCTCATAATTCTCTTTAGCCACTTCTTTCATAACAGCATATAATTCATAGTATAGAGTGCAGTGGTCGTTACCTGTAGCTACTACAGTGTTGTGGCTTCCTGCAATGATTGATATGCCTGAGTTCCCCATCAGAAACATTTGTATTTACAGGGCTTAGGAGAAACGAGGTTTCTTTCACCGAAAAAGTTGGTGGCTGCTGTTGGGATTGGTTGCACTGTAAACATTTTAAACGAAGTGGAAGGACCATGTGGATGAATATGAATATATGTTACAGGGGATGGCACCAGTGTCTTCTTGCAGGTGGTGGGAAATACAACATGAGTACAATATTTGTGAGGGAAAGGATTCAACGAAGGGACAGGAGATTGTGGGAGTGACTGTGAAGCAGAATATGAGCCACATGGAACTGCCACTCTGTTCAGGTGTACCCTTTCAGCTACAGTGAAATCACTTTCCAGGAAATGTTTGCTTCACAAACTGGTGTTGGAGATCAAAGAGAACGAATATTTTATTAATCTTTTTAATTATTTAATAACCATTTAACAAATAAATACAGAATGAACAATGTACAAAACTGATTTAATACAAAGAATGTTTCACAACAAATCAGTTGTCACCTGTACCTCAAATGAACTTCTAAATATATAAATTATTACATCAATTGCTGCATGAGAATTTATTGAATTACTTGTGACTTGCTAATTTTTCTGTTTCAAAAGTTTAGAAACATTTCCTGTGGACAATTGAAGGGCCAGACTCATCGTATTCCTGTTTGGAAATCCACATTTGCTGGAAGGTAGATAAAGATGCTAATATGGAACCACCAATCCACACAGAATATTTTCTTTCTGGAGGTGCAATGATCTTTATCTTCATTGTTGAGGGTGCAAGGGCTGTTATTTCCTTCTGCATCCTACAATAGAGTAATTAAATAAATCATGTATAATTTAAGTGTTTGCAAGTATAACTGCTTGACTAAATGGATAAATATTTTTATCTAAATCCCTTCATGTAAGGATCATACATTTGCTCACACCAGACCTCATCGTTTTTCAGATAGCCACATGGCAGACTAAATTATGAGTAGCAAGGACCCAACTATGCAAAAATAACTCTGCAATTTATATGTTTTATCACCTGAGAATTGGAAAGTCCTGCCTCCACTTTTGGATAAAAAAATTTGATAATGGACTTTTCTGATTCTGTATACTGAATTTCTCCACGTACATCAATAGGTTTGTCTTACATGCAGGTGTATGAATTCAGAATGTATTTTATTCAAAGTCACATTTAAATTGCAGATGATTGCAAACTGGAGTGTATATCCAACAGAAATTTAACTAAAATAGTGAATCACATATTCTGGACTCACAAAAAAGTAGTACTGAGCCACTGTCAGTGTCCACATTATGTGTTCACACTACAGGTGTTCATTATGTTTAGTAGTTCACACTTGTGCTAATGTCAGAATTGCTGGGTTTTTGGCTCTTTTTCCATTATTTGGTATTCTGGAAACTAGAGAACCCAATGTTTTTGAAACTGGATCTGTTTACCAGTTTCCAAAACATTGTGTTCTCTAGTTTTTAGAAAACTGGGTGATGGACAGAGTCTAAAAACTCAGTAATTATGAGTATTCTACACCATCATCAGAACCCTTTACAATCTACTTGTGCTAATGTGTTGAAATATTTTTTCAGTGTCAACATGAATGAAGGTAAGAGATGTTCAGATGGGAAAGCAGGCTTCCAGTAGACAGTACTTTTGAAACTTTATTCCATATTATCCACAATGTAAGAAAAACATAGGTATGAACTCTATGTTTTTTTGTTTTTTCTCACATTTGTTTTAATGATGCCTTGGCCTACTGAGGATAAAATAACTGTAGCTTTAATGTAAATCAGTGTTTGGTACTTTTAGTGATGGATTCTGTATTATTTGTTGCAGTACAATTAAAGTCTAATTTTAGTCTACATTAACACCATTATTTATTAAAACAAAACAATTCATCACCTAAGAAATGCATACACACAGCCCAAGCAAATAGTAATGGGCTTCATCTCAGTAAATTTATTTCGGCTCTAAGTCCTGCACCAGACATACTTGAAGAACTCTGTGACCCAATAAAACATTTGGATCCCTTGTGATGTTCCTAAAACTATTGTTCTCGTGATACTACCTAAGATACTCCCATTAAGTATACTAGAATAAGGCGAGGCTAAAGTGTAGTACTTACTCTACTGAAAAAAATATAAAACAGGTTTATTTTACAAATCATCAATAATACCCTTGGTTTATGTTCTACAGAACTGAGCAGTCCAGATCCCAAACATGGCAGTAAACTCCATCACAGAGGAAACGGAATGTCCATAAGGTAAAAGATAAGGTAAGAGGCCATTAAAGCCCATAGGGTTGTGAGATGCTGAAGTTTCCACATTTTCTCTAGACAATCGGCTGACAGATGGCAGTAAGGCTGTCAGCCTTACATGCTGGTCACCCTTTACCCAACAGAAAGATTCCTGGTACTCATTTCTGTTAGAGGCTGTGTTGACACCAGGGCACACTATGGTGTGGCTGGAAGGATTAGGTAAATTGTAAAAGAATCCACCTCAGTGGGAATTGAACCCGTGACCATCCAGGTTGTAGCATAATGTCTCAACAAATTATGCTACCATGTGCCCCATGTCATTAAGGTTAGAAGATAAAATGGAGAGAAGTAAGTAGACACAAAAACGAATGTTATATTTGGAGAGAAAAGAGAAAAATGGCTATGAAGAGAAATATTAGGTACAAGTGTGCTACTATATTAAGTACAGATGAACAACAGAAAAAAACAAAACACTTTCTGGGAGCTATGTGATGGCATAAAAGGCCATTTCTACAACATATATGTTGTGAGAAAATCCAAGAAGCACAATCAAAGCCACAGGTAAATGGCAAAAAAGCATTCAGCTACTACTGTTACTTTCACAGTGAAAATAAGATCCTTCATATCTGCACATAGTTTTTCCTGAAAATATTTGATGGATACCCGTGAAATGATTGTACTTGATTGACCAACAACAAATCCAGAGTCCTGAAAATTAGTTTTAATGAACATTGTGCATTCAAATACTCAGGAGATGATTTATCTCTTTGGTCCGAGTCAACAACAACAGTCATGTAATTAATCTGAAAAAACATTTATAATCTGTATCTCAGATAATCTAGTTTTGAAAGCTTGATGCTGATCAGATTATTGCAATGAAAATACAGTGTATGTGACACACAGTGAAGCTCAGAGTGAATTCACTGAATAATTTTACATTTTTAATTAGTTCTGTCAGCAAATATCAAGATATTTTACTGAAATATGTCATGATCCTTTCATCCCATATAATTCATCATTCTTCCTTCTCAGTTTATGACATACAATCTGTGCAAGTGAATAACTAGATTAATATGTACAAATACAATTCAAGCAAAAAATTGCAATATTGCAAAGACAGTAATATCATGAAATCCTTGGATTAACAGTTTTCAGATTTCAAAGCACAGTGTCCACTGAAGCAACTGTGGTGCAAGGAGTAACTTGTCTTACACTTTCTTGCTGTGAAACGTTATATTTGGACTAAAATATTTATTATGTGCTGGAATTATGGTGGAACTGTTTTAATAGTTTCAGTTGCATAAGTAATTAACAAAGCTGGAGGGCAAAATTGGATAACCTGTGCTCTGAAAGAAGATGTCTTTAACTGCTCCTTCCCACATCCACACCTATCTTACATACAGCAAAAAGTTATCCCATGTTGAAGTTAAAAGTTAAACTTATGAACGGAAGATGTTATAGAATCCCATTATGACATCCAAGCTTCTAGTGTAATTTTACTTACATTATGCAAACTACATTAATTATGTTTCTTGAATGTACAAGAATATTCTTCAGTTCTATCATGCAGGACTCATGCACGAGTTCAGATAATATAAACTACCTCCAGACTTACCTGTCAGCAATACCAGGGTACATGGTTGTTCCTCCTGAAAGTACTGTGTTGGCATACAAATCCTTTCGGATGTCAACATCACACTTCATGATGGAGTTGTATGTTGTCTCATGGATACCACATGACTCCATGCCAAGGAATGATGGCTGGAACATAGCTTCAGGACACCTGAACCGCTCATTTCCAATAGTAATCACCTGGTTAGAAAAGATAATGACAGATGACTTAGCTCCACACCATTGTAAAATTATTTAAGAAACAATTTACAAACTTATTCAATTTTCCGTGTAGAAAGCAGGCAAATTGTTTGATATTATTACACTATGTATGTTTGAGTGTCTGCATGTCTACACATGTGCATCTGTAAATTATATGAACAGACCAGACATGCACTATTCAGAAAGATTTGTTTGTCCACCAGGAAACTCTTATATGAAAAGTCATTATCCTATTTGCTCTGCTGGAAAGTACAAGGAACAAATTTGAACAAAAACTGTACTGACATTTTAGTTCATTAAACTATGTATAGTATCAAATATCCAAATATATGGAGCAACTCCTTCATGGGCTCACCTAATCACTTGTAGTAATCGCCCTATATAGGAATTTTTGTTACATGTAGGTATATTCTAATCTGTTACTTTTTTAAACATATCTTATTTACTTGTACACCTACATGATATATATTTACAAGGCATGAAAACTCATTTCAGATCAGTTAATTATACATAATAGTAGAGTGAATTTACCGACTACACAACACGTTTTTAATTATCACTACATGTTTCGACCTCAAGAGATCATCCTCAGGTGTATGAACATGGCTGTATAATTACACGCGGTCACATTCACTTTTCAACCAGTGACATGAATTGAACTTCGATTCACGAACTTTTAACAATTAAATTAGAATAATGATTTTAACCTGTGTTTTATAAAAAGAACTCGATATGTTAGTGAGCGTAAATCTGGATAAGATATAGGATCCAATGAGTGAAAAGTGAATGTGACCGTGTGTAATTATACAGCCATGTTCATACACCTGAGGATGAAATCTTGAGGTTGAAACATGTAGTTATAATAAGAAACGTGTTGTGTAGTCAGTAAATTCACTCTATTATTAATTAAACACACAACAGGATGCAAGAAATGATTGTAATTATACATAAGCTAAATACCCTTGGATTTAAACACCATGGTATGATAGCATATATGAGGCATGGATGTAATATCTACTCATTTTTTACTTCTAAACTAGGGGAAATGGCCGTTAGATAGGTGGTTGTGTGGACCACAGAGTTAATTTGGACATGGTGGCAAGGACAAAAATTACTTCCTCATTTTGGAAATCAGTATCACTGGTGCATGAATTGTTTCTTTGTTAATACATAACTTACTTGTCCATCGGGTAGTTCATATGATTTCTCCAATGAGCTAGACGAAGCAGCAGTAGCCATTTCTTGCTCAAAGTCAAGTGCAACATAGCACAACTTCTCTTTGATGTCTCTAACTATTTCCCGTTCAGCTGTGGTTGTGAAACTGTATCCTCGTTCTGTGAGAATCTTCATTAAGTAATCTGTCAGATCTCGTCCAGCCAGATCCAGACGAAGAATTGCATGAGGCAGTGCATATCCTGAAACGAAATGATGTTACAGGATACTGAATAAATATTCGGTAGAGTATATCTGTTTTTGCTATTCAAAAAACAATTACCAAAATAATTTGACACAATTCAAAGCAATTGTTTTAAAGATGCTGCAGATATAGTCATATTATCTGTTCACAAAGAAATGTCTAGCACTGTCTAGAACAGAGGTAAATTAGAACCCTGACTATGACGTCCACTTTAATTTCTGAAAAATAGTACATATTTAGTCATGAAGCTGAATTGCTTGATAGATTCCAATACCATTATCTGAAATTGGACAGTTATTTGCATATATTCCTGTCAGTTTTGCTCTTTCATTTTTATCTCTTCATACATTTTTCAGTATTAATGATGCAGCTGTGAATTTTCACAACTCCATTTGTTTTAGTATACCTGTGTGCATATATGTATGTATGTATGCATATATGCATGCTTACCTGCACATGCTGCAGGAAAGTATCTTTCATTTTTAAACTAAAAATGGGCTATTAATTCTTTCAGATTTGGTATAATTACAGGAGTGTAGTTTTGTTAAAGTTACATGTCATGTAGCTTTAGTACCAGAATATAGTCATGTACAACATTGTTAAGAAAACTGTGATTCCTGTGAGACGGAATACGATGCTCTCACTTCAATTATAAGATTATGTATAAAAATTTGTTTTATTGATTGTGTCCAGGGAGTTCAAAACATATTCAGAGTAAAGATATTGTTGAAAGTAGAGCGTTAGGTAAACTATCACCATCTATGTTCTTCATCTCTGCTGTTCCGTTTCCGGTTCAGTTACATTGCTTGTATCGTGTTGAGAAGATCTCATAAACAGATTTGTTCACGATATCCACTAGTTATTTATCAACCCTGCAATAATTCTACCAGATATCAATAGAGTAACTCCTTACATTTCATTTCAGAGTCATTTTACGTTGATGTGATGCAACATGCAAGACTATATATTTGGTTTCTGTCCATTGTTATAGCTTCTTACACAAAAACCACAACATTTCATAAGTGGAACCTATTTCTGAAACATAACTTTTTAGAAAGGGAACTAGGATGGTAAAAAAGTTTACATATACACCTTTAATAAGTCCTACTTTATGAATAACTTACCTTCATATATAGGTACAGTGTGTGAGACACCATCTCCCGAATCCAAAACAATGCCTGTAGTTCTTCCTGATGCATATAAGGAAAGAACGGCTTGAATGGCCACATACATGGCAGGCGTGTTGAATGTTTCAAACATAATCTGTAACAGAAAATAATTCTTATCTAGCAAATTATGGAAAATTTTCAAATTTGAAACTTGATGATTATTGTACAAATTATGCATATTGAAGGAATGTTTTGTATAATATTCTCAGGAATAAGTAGATATTGTTTCAAGCGACAGATCTCAAGTATCACTGCTAACTTGCCAGAAAGTCCTGTGAAATCAATATATCTGTATTCTTGCCCTTTCTTTTAACACTTTATATTCTGATATCAACCAATTTTCATGCTCGCAGTGGAAGAAAACCAGTGCCTTGCAATACTGTGTGTAACTAACAGCAGAAAGGGGTCAAACAATAATTAAAAAAAAAACTCTACTTTTTTTGTAGGAAATGGCATTCTTATTACAAGAGCTCAAAACATTCCAGGCAACAGGTTGCTGTGATTCCTAAAATTTTCATTGTAGGGCCTAGTATTTGCAGGAACATCCTTCTAACTGTATTCCTATTCATGCATGGTAAAGGTAAAGTTGTCCATGTGCTTAACTAATTAAGTATTACACCATGAAGGCATATAGCGGGCCAATATATAGATCCACATTTTATTGACCTAAGCACAAGTTGGAGATGAGCGGTCAGCTTAATGCTCTGATTCATGCAAGGATCATTTTTAAATTCATAGTATGTATGTCTGATTCTGTCATGCAGATAGTAGTTTCAGCCAATGGCACAACTCAAAGCCTTTCTCTTCAAATTGCACCAGTAGTTGAGAGAAAAGACTAGAATGTTTCTATTGAAATAAGGGTATTCAGAAATGTTCAGGTTTTCATGAACAAGAGTGTTTGAATTGTGGTCTTCTAAGTTGTGACACTATGAGGTCTTTGAGATGGATACAATTTTGGAGTGATGTGCTGCCTCAATTTTCAGAATTGAAGGTAGGGTGAAAAGGAATGTTGTTCGTCAGAAAGAAGGATGGGGGAGAGGAGAAAGAGCCCTGTCCTGGCCGTTAGGAACTATGCACCAGCATTGTGAAAGACGTCCCTCTGCAGTAATGGCAAGATGACATGGATAGTTAACAGTCAAAGAAATGAAGGAAGTACAGGTGATAAACCATTGCCCAGTCTATTAGAACAGCAAGCAGGAACTGACCACAGAAAATCCAGATGTTCAAAATCTCCATTCACGATGAGTTATTGCTCACCTGTTGCTCCAATCACATTCCTGAGATTTTATAAAGAAGTCAAAATCCTTTTCAACACATAGCACAAAATTGCAGTGGAAATTTTGTGAAGACAGACTAGTCTTAATGTGAAATTTATATAAAAACAGTAATTATATTACATAAGACTAACACATTTTCTGCAATTTTTTCTAGTTCTCTCTTGACTTATAATTTTTCGACATAGATCATGGAGCTATAAAAATTGTTCAGGCCTGCTTAGGACAGCTGTGTATCACTATTCCACTAACCATAGTCTAAATTCTACTTTCATACAAACAAACATCAAGGCACAGGCATTGTTTTTGCCGCTTTATGAGTAATAGCTGAAAGGACACTCTTGTCACTGTTGAAGATACAGAAAGTTCTTTGATGGGCTGACAAAGCTTTGTACATATGTATATATGTACTATATGTACATATAGTGCTGTAGATCTATATTGTTGTCGTCTGTATTATGATAATATGGTATGTAGTATGGTACATGGTTACTAGCATTTCAGAGAAACATACTGTAATGTGTCATTATGTCATAATACTGGCTCTAATTTCTACCCTGAAGATGGAAGTGGTATGCTCCTCCAAAACCTTTGTAACCATCTACCAGACTACAAGTGTCATAACTCAGAAGACCACAATATGAAACTTCATCACCCATAAATCTAAAAAAGTAGATGTCACCACCTCAGGACTAGGACACACAAATGAGGTATAAATTGGTGTAATTTAAGAGGTTTTCATAAGCTGCTATGGCAAACTCAGCAGTGCTGTTATATATATATATATATATATATATATATATATTCATTTATATACACATATAATGCATCATATCTGAAAATAAGATGCATATTAATATTGCCATGTAATTCTGTATTTCAGCATCCCATTGCAATTGTTCAACTTAACGTCCATTATTTGTCATCCGTCAATATTGCAACACTCTTCCATTCATCACTCAATTTTTAGTTTACCATTATACACCTTGACACTACATGTTTCGGCCCCAAACGACCATCTTCAGGTGTCTTGATAGGTTACAATTATTTTATTAAATTGTGTTAAAACTGCTACACTGTCTTAGTTCGTTTTAAAATCACATGCTGCAGTCCTCTTTTCAGGGTAAAAACATATAAAATCCTTTAAATTTTCTATTATAGCCACGTTATTTTGGTGCATATTATTTCACTTCGCACAGTGTCGTCCATTTTCATAAATGTATGTCTGTCCAGGGTGTTTTGTCTTGGCAGCTTGCCCCTCACTTTCATTCATTCATTCATTTCCTTTATTTTCCATATGTGATGTTGTCTTTACTAGTGCCTTTTTTATTTTCATTTATTGTTGTAATTTATGATTTATGGATTTTTCAATGTTATCCCATGTCTGTTGCCATATGTTTGCGTTGTGTATGTGGGCATGGTACAGTTGTGTATTTAATTGCTGCTTCTTTTTATATAAGAATTTTATTTCGTTTTTTATACGTAACGTTTGGGTTTGTGTTTGTGTTCTCTTAGCTGCTTCGTTGTTTATTGATAATTTCATATGCGCGTATTTTGGTACGAGCCTTTTCTTCAAACAGGTTTTGTTGAACTTTATGTTCGCATTACAGTGTAATAGTTCTCTTTTACAATTCATGTAGTTATATGTGCCTTTAGTGTGACTACTATTTATGATAAAGACAACACCACACGCTGTGGAGGAAACACGCAAAGGAGGGGTATATGGCAGTCATAACTGAAAAGTAGGCTACGAACGTGAGGGGCAAGCTGCCGAAACAAAACACCCTGGACAG